ATGGTATTCATAAGCCCAACAGAGATCAGAATCCCATGTAATCAGATTTCCTACAGTTCAGGCAACAATACAGCCCCATGCTGCTTCACACACTCATTCAACCTTAGAAGCCTTAGATCAAAGTTTTACCAAGTATTAAGAAAACATGAAAAACCTATATATGCCTTTTATATTTGATGTCTCAAACTAAAGTTGTAATAAATACTAGATAATTACAAACAAGCCTTCTGGAAGGGACAACTTTAATACAAAGCTTTAAAATATTAATAGTAGTCCCTCTTCATCAGGGGTGTTTCCTTCCTAACTTCTGCTCTTCCAAGCCCTGAACTAAATTGCATGTTGTGCATGTTTTTTCTTTTGCTTGGTACCTGCAGCACTCACAGCTGCTCTGATAAGGGTTTGCTTGCTTTATTGAAGCATACTTACTTTAAGAACTCTAGTTCAACCTGAAACACATTCACTACAATGAATTTCAATTAACTTCTGTGAATTTATCTCATGTTACAGGACCATAATATAGGGTTGACTGTCACATCAACATGCTTGAGACCTGACCCAAGGTGCTCATCATTAGGAATCTCTCTGCCATATTCCACACTACCACTACCTATTCGTGGAAGCTTGGATGTGATTTCTTCAAGTGACTAACAGTAACTCATTCCAGCAGAGAAAGTGCCAGGTCAGGGCAAGGGGCTGGTGGATCTGGGTAAAAAGTCTCACATTGCAGCAGCTGCCTCTGCTGTATTTGACTCATGAATAAAAGGCTTGTTTTCCATCCTGACTTTCAATTAAATTTTGGTAAACACAGACATTTACCGAAATGTTTAGAACAATTTATCTGACTCCTGAATGAATGGCTGTGTTCCCTGGAACAGAGTCAAACCCTGAAGCTCTATACAGAGAAAATTTCAAATGATTAGTGAACAGCAGAAATTTCTGTCTCCGTTTCTGACTTTTGTAATGTCAGCAGTTCAGGTTTCAATGTTTAAAAAACAGCATGCAAGTTACTACAAGATTTCAAGTTGGTTTCCTTTCAACTCCCTTTTTTTCTTAAGGATCATAATTGAGGGGAGAGAGCCTTGTAGAGGGGCTGAGCTCCCATACCTTCACTCTGCAGTTTCTGAGGGAATACTTGCCCTCAGCTTTTCAAGGAAGGGATGTGATGAAGATGCCAGGATGGCCTGGTAAAAATTCCCAGTTACCTACATCACCTTTCAAGAGATAGGAGGGCATGAGCATCATGGTTGATAAAAGCACAATTAGTCTCTAAGACTCAGTTTCAAAAGATACACCTTTTGCCTGCAACCCTGTCTCATCAGGTAAAAGAGAAAAGTTACATTTACAGCTTCTTCGTTCCATTTTTGTAAGTCTGTAACTGCCTTCAACACAAGGCTTCTCAAATACTCCAGCAATGAGATCAGTGATGTGAATCAATCAGCAGTTTTGTCTTTTCCTACCTGTTGATCTGAAGCAAGATAGAAGAAGAAAAATAAAAACTGACAACCTCTCCCTGCTTTCTTATATTTGCTCATGGTCAGGAACACTTCATCCCAAACAACATAGCTTTAATATTATGATCAATGTTGAAACTACTTAATATGCTAAATCTAACACTATCCTGAAACAGTCCCCCATTAAAAAAGTAATGTTTCTTGGTGAGTTTTGCATAAAAAAAATTAGGAAAGAACTGCAAAAGTTATGAGACTTGCAAATAGGCCAGTCATCAGTCCTGTGCTAGAGTGGCATAGTGGCTCATGTTGAGAGTAAAACCAGCTACTCACTTTCCTCTGCTCACAACTTCTCACAGCTAGATCAGACAATTGATTTTGCAGATTTCTGAAGCTATGATTCCAAAAACTCCAATACCTGAATTTTAAGAAATGCGCCAGCAAATTTTCTTGCACTATGAAGGGAAAGATTAAAATGCAGTCATGCAATGTATGATGTGGTTGGATAGCTCAGGCCCTAAAAACGCTGAACATTCAGAATGAGCAGCTTTCCTGAAAATTAATTTCACTGGCAAGTGGCCTATATGCTACTGTGACTTCTCTTTGAGCAGTGAATGTGCTCCAAAGTCTGCCAATGAGGGATGGAAGACAGGTTCCAAAAACATTTCCAGAATTCTAACAGTGACTTACCACCAGAGAAAATCAAAATGCACAAGTAGTTTTTATTAAGGATGCTAACAATGTCTCAGGACAACAAACTGCCTTTTGAATAAAAAGATTACTGACCTCAGTCAGACACTTTTTATTTCTTTTCAATTAGCTTTTGTAGTGATCTGTGTATGCATAGATATCTGCTTATGTATATAAATAATTAAAGAACATACCAATGCCAATGAAAATGCAAGATAATTTCTATTAGCTTTTAAACCAACACAACATAAATGCTATCTATTTGTTTCAGTTCTCCTTGAAATAAAATGTTACTGGCTACACACACCATATCTTAAGTTGCACAGGCAGTACTGAAACAATACCAGATTTTACAGGGTCAGTTGTAAGAGGTGTCAATCACTGTACTTCAAACAAGAAGGCATTCAAAGTAAAGTACAGACTCTACCACTCACTTGTAACATTCTCAAAAATAAACTGTAATAGTGTTAAAAAAAAAGTTGTAGTAAACCCTCCCAATAATTTCCTAAGCTCTCTTGTTTCATTCAGAGGTGATGAAGCACAAGTCCATGCACAAACAATGTGCAAAGCTCTCTAACTCTGCACACCAGGAGGGCAAGACACACTCAGCTGACAAAGGAACCTCTCTTTGGGATCTCCAGGCACATAAGAAACCCTCTGCAACATGACTGAAATAAACTTATATCTGTATAACAGATGTCATTAAATTTAAGGCTATTAGACAGTTACACTGATACCTCCGCCTTCAATTACTCATATTAATTTATAAGCTTGTCTGTTAACAAGACTCTGCATGGCAAACAATAGACGTAAAGACAAAAGAAAACAAAACAACCCTGTAACATGGAAAAAAAAACCCCAGCCCTTCTTAGATTTACATAACTTCAGCTAGGACTGAAAGACATTGCATGGCAGTTGTTCAGAGCTGTGTTCTCTATGGCTCATCCACAGATCTTGTACTCTACTGCCTCTTCAAAACATGACAGAAACATCCTTTCTCCTCCAAAAGCCACAGACATCCCTTATTTTGAAATTATGTCTGGCCTGCAACATCACATAGCCGACCATCAAGCTGTCCTGTCACTGCTGTTCCACTGAACCTTCTGCAGGTTCAAGTCTGACTGAAGGCTGAGTCCTCTCTCCATCAGAGAGATAGCAAGAACGAATTCCACCATTTTGCCTTTTTTGAGGGGCATCTGTGCACATGCAAAAGATCAATATAAAACAAACCAACCACCCTCCAGATTCTGTGTTTCTTACTTAGCATTCATTTAACACTTACTGCCATGGGACCCTGGTRTGCAACAAAAGCTGTCAGGTGTTATGACAGTTTAACAGTCTGTTGTGGGTTAAGGTTTCTCCTTTTGTTTCCTTTCTTGGGGAATTTTCTTTCCCACTTTTTTGCTGGGATACACTGATTGCTAAGTCATCCTTTTGATGGCTGGGCAAATGGTGAAGACAATAGAACCGAACCCCACCTGAAGGATCTCCCTGGGCATTCCTCCTGCCTGGCAATATCTTTTTTATCCTTCTCTTTGGAGAGAGAGAAGTTCTTGAGGGAGTTTTGGGCTGGGGGAGGGTGTGTGCATATTTGGTGGGGGGAAGCTTCACTTCCTGCCCTGCTTGGCTCAGAGAAGGAGGTCGACCTGCTACCTCCGAGGGGAGAGCTCGACTGCTCTTTTCTGCAGAGCCCAGCATCTCTGTGCGTTGGTTCCTGTTTGCTGCACTGTGATCCTCTGCCCCTGTGCCTTGCCGGGGACCCTTGAAATTCCAGCTACAGTGCTTGAGTTCTGCTGCATTCCATCTAGCAGCCATGGGATTCTGCTTGTCTTTTTTGCTCATCCAGCCGTTCTGGGGTTTCTTGCTGTCCAGAGRAGCACCAAGATCGGCGTTTTCCGCTGTGAGTTTGCAGAGGAACTTTTCTCCRTCCACCTCTGCCGGTTTGTGTCCACCATTGGCCACTGGGAGAGCTGAGCCAGCCGGGACCCGCRCCACAGCGCCCCCTGCAGCGCCGGGGAATCATCGCACCCACCCTGCCTGGCCGGGAGCCAACAGCGCCCCTGCCGACCGGGACTGTAACTGCACCAAAGGGGAGGGTGTGTCTCTGTAAGGCTGTCACTGGGTTTGGGACTGGGCTGGTTGTTGCTATCGTTGTTGTTACTTGTTTCACCTTGTTATCCATATTACTAAAAACTGTTATTCCCTTTTACCCATATTCTTGCCTGAAAGACCGTGATTTTAAAGCTGTAATAATTTGGACGGAAGGGGGGGTCATATACACCACTCCAAGGGGGGTCCCTGCCTTCATTGGCAAGCACCTGTCTTTCAAACCAAGACACAGTCGTACTTATTGTGAATAGCTTAATCAGCATTATTGCCATCATCTTAACCCAAAAAAGGCAACAAAATCAAATCAAGAATTGAGATTAGAGCCATAGTATAAAGAACTTAGCAGCAAGAAATTTAGAGACTCGAGCTCACTGAATTGCTCTGTCAATTTTCCTCTGAGGCTGCACACTTACTGACAGAGTTTGAACTTAAAAATCTGTCTGAATATTCACAGTGACAAATATAGGCAGGAGTACTATATTACTATACAGTGCAAATCCAACTCAGTGAAAGGACCATAATTCAACAGTGGCAATCTGGAACTTGCTGTCAGCCTATTCAAGATGAAACTGAATTCATTGGCAACTCTCTACACAGTAAAGCTGAGCAAACTAAGGACCAGGCAAGAAAAGACAAGAAAAACACAAGATGGAAGATGCCTCAATCTCCCACTTTTCAAACATCCAGTTTGAATAACAGCATTACATAACGATAAAGGGAAATTTGTAATCAAAATCTTTTATTTAAACATACCAGGTATCTTTCCTCCTGCCTCATGCTGGGAGTACGGATCATGTGATTCTGTTCTCCTCTCCAGTCTCCAAAACGTCGAAAAAAATAATTGGACAGAAATCGGTTGACAGGATCTCTAATAATATTGATGTACACCGGCTGGTCTCCTCCAAACCTGGAGGGAAGAAAATTGGGTGAAACTCATCACAAGGTTCCACACAGACACGTATCTATTATCTCTCATCTGAATGCTTTCAAATTACTTCCTACAAAAATTCAGAGCTTTTCCAAGCTGAGGAATGAACTGAGAATGYTATAACTAGTTTCTAAACCTCAGTAAATGCATGTACATCTCTTTAGGATTAACAATAAATATGGAATCACATTTAGCTGTATGCATACTAGAGACATTTTGGTTGAAGCACATCTTTTAAACTATATCAACAGTTTTGCTTCTTTGGTTCTCTCCTTGCTTTTTTCAGACAAAAAACCTCAGCAGATGAATCAGAGAATGAGCAGTTCTTCTTCTCAACATATTTCCCATCTGGGCAGTCATGTCAGAGCAGGCACCACCCACCAGTAACTGTTGTAAGGCAGCCTTGGATCACCTTCGCCTGCACAGTAAGTGGAGTAACGTGCAAAGGATTTTCAGCTTACTTTGAAAGCTTTTTTTCCAAAAGCTTCCACTAGATGAACTGACAGATATGCATGGTATTTCCAACTTCGTATTTGCTGGAACTTGTGCAGATTCTCATCTCCTCACCCCCAGCCTGCTCCACTGGCTGGATTTAAGGCTATTTCACAGTTATGCAATACCTTATCCCTGTACTACTCTTCATGAGTATTTTTTTAGTCAATATGAAAATTCCTGCTTCAAAAAAGAAAGTATCAATCGCAAGTACATGCAAGTCCAAGGAAAGGGAAAGGGTAAAACTACCTGTGACCACGCTTGCATATAAGCAAAATACAGCATAGGTAACTGCAATTTAGAGATGAGAAGATAAACCAAAGCAACTTCATCACCTTGACTTTACCCTCTTATATGGCTCCTCCTGGTGCTTAATGACAAACATTGTCAGTTCAAGAGCTGGCATACCAAAAGAGGAAGGGAGCAAAAAAGGAGCTTGGGAAGGTTTGCGATTACTCTGTATTTTCAGAAWGTAAAAATATCGACTGCATATTTTAGATCAATACACAGCATCAGGAGAGCAGGCCTAACTGGAAGAAAAAAGGGGAAGTTGCTTACACTGACTGTTCCATGGTCAAAATTAAAAAACAGATATTCACAGAACAGACTTATGGACTAAAAATCCTGTGAGACAAAGAATAAAATAAAAACTCCCTGGACTAAGAAATTAATAGGATAAATTCAGCTTGGAATTTTCCTCATCTAAGAACATGGATTATGCTTCTCCCTTCTGTTTCCTCAGTTTAGGTGAACAATTCTCACTTAAGCACTTGCTTATGCTTTATTTTCGGGAGCTTGAAGACATAACCATATTTAAGTATTTAAATGCTATTCTGATGATTTTCTGAATCACAATTTATATAATTTCTTCTAAAATGTAAAATACTAGATTAGAAGAGAGAAAACTGAAGACACCCTTCAGATTAAAAAGTCCCTCTCAGTTTTTGCTCATCTTTTGAGTTGATGAATAATTGAATTGGTATAATAAAAGATCAGGGCTTCTCATAAATATTAAAGAGGCAGCAAAATAGTTTAAAATTATGAATTCTAGTAAAAGACAAGAGAAAAATCTCATATAGAGTTTAAACCTAGTTTTTATTCTGCATGATTCCCCAGACCTCTAAATACAGTCTGCAAAGGCTTGTCCCATGAGTAACTACGCATATCAGTAATTTCATTGACCTCAAATGTTGCAGGATCACTGCCATAATTTGAAATTGCACAGACAGCATAAAACTTTAAAACAATCCAATTAAAAAGGCAGATGCTTCTTGCTGCCTGATGAGTGCACCGCCCAGTTTGGACATGGATGTGCAAGAGAAATATCCTGAATTCTTCTCTGAGCTATCTTTGTTGTTTGTTATCCTTATACAGAAAAAAAAAAAAAAAAAAAAAAAAAAAAAAAAAAAAAGACATTCCTGCAAATACTACAGGACAATGTAGCCATAAAGCTTTGACAATATTTATTCAAACAGAAAGTTTTTTTTGGATGCCTTGGCATGGTAGCTTTGAAAACTAAACTTTTCAAGAGAAACTTAAGAAAGGACAGATTGCATCTAAATTAATGAACACATTATCTTCCTGCTGCTTGATGCCGATCGATAATAATCTAAGAAAGGGAGTGGAAGAGAGCAAAGAAAAGGGGAAGCAATTGAGACAATAAGAAGTGATGACAGCAGCTAGTTGTTATGTCTTAAGAGAGAGACAAAAATATTACGAGATTCATAGAAGCAAGAGAGCAGGGATGTCCTGCCCCAGGTTTTGTAGAGGATGTTAAGCCTAAATGCTCATAAAAGAGCCAAAAATCAAAACCAGATAGCTATCTTGAAAATTCCTATCAACATATTGTCTTTTCTGAAGTAAAACGAGGGGTGTCACCAAAGTCCCAGAGCCCATCCTTTTGCTGGTAATGTCATGTCTATGAATACGAGAACAGAAAGTTCAGTACCATAAGCCCTGAGAAAAGAGGGTCAGGCAAACTCATTCATCCCGAGGGAAAAGCTGAGATGGGAGGTCAGTCTTTCACAAATGCTACAGGGGAACTTCCATTTCCGAACTGGAGATTCTGCATGCTACCCAGCTCCCCAAACAGGCCAGCTCGAATTTCAGATTTTCTGCGCAATGCAGCCAGCTGCTGTACACCCAGCTGTGGGTTGCTCCACCATGCAACAAGCACAGAATTATTAGAAAAATCAAGTCTGTTCTGGTCTTTATTCAAATGTGCATTTTTTAAAAAAAATGTAATTCATAGTACTTCAGATTCCAACCATTTGTTTCTATGGACTGTACTCAAGAGCCTTTTATGGAGCTAAGCAGCACTCACATAGCTTAAAAAATCCTACAGTTTAAAAAAAATCAATTACCTTAAGCTATTTAGAGTAGAAAAGGGCAAATCAATGCTCCATTTGCTCAAGTATGTTCTGCATATTTTTAGATACTTATCAATCACATCATATTAAATATTACTTAGCTCTTTCAAGTGAAACTTTTCAAATTAACACCCACATGAAAGTGCTCTTGCAAAAACAGATATGTGCTCTCACTATACATCACATCACCTTATTTGTACTCAAACACCTATTGTGAAGTATTCACAATGGGACACAATCATATTTTCTAGGCCTGAGCAGCATCTTACCTTCTCTGAGAGGGATCATGATTGGATCCTTTATGATGAAGTTGCCTGAATATCCTCATCTCCAGCAGCACATCAGGGCAACTGGGAAGAGTGGGTCAAGACACCACCACTCCAGCCTAACATTAAAAATGGATACACCACCCCCCACAATACTCTTCCTGTACTTAACATCTTATGCTTTGTTTTAGTTTTAAATGCTTTGTTGTGAAAGCAGTTGGAGTCCTCATCCAAAAAAGCCATTTGCAGGCTTCAGTCAATGATACTTCGCTTCATGAATAATATATTCCCCTACATCTTTTTTAATAAAACCAAATTAAAAAAAAAAAGCCTGAAAAGTATGTGAGCTTGCCCCTTAGAAAAATATTTCTGATGATTTCCAATTTTATTATTTACAAGAGAAAAATCTTTGTTTAAAGCCATTTACAAACCCCTTACAGCTTAGGAAAAAAAATCAATTGATATGATTTGCTTGGTTCTAAAATGGAGGATCTCATAGCTCCTATTATTTCTCTTTTCACTTCAGGAGGCTGCTGCCTTTGCATTTAGTGCAAAACTCTATGCACAAGCCGAAGAAGGTTTCTTCATGTGTGCAAAGGTCAACTCCTCAAGGAAAAAAGGTCGCTCCCAACCTATTCTCTGTAAGAACTTTGTCTGCCTCTTACTCTTTTAACATGTAATGTTTCCTCTTAAACAAATGGGTTGGTGTCTAGAAATTCAATATAATGGAAGCAAAAAAAAAAACCAACAGCCACCTAATATTAACAGGGACAGACATATTGTGTCCTTCTTATAAAGGAAGTGCAATTTCCTTTTACAGTGCCATACAATTGAGAATTGCATGCTGAGAGTACAATTGCCCAGCAATTGTTACTCATCAATTATGTAACAGCTCCATTACCTGCCTTGCAGCACATCTTCACAGGAAGTTCACATAAAAGCATGAACAGAGAACTTCCACCTTTTTAAGACTTAAATTTAAGATGCAGTTACTTCAACATTTATCTTCTGAAAAAAGGTATTTTGAAATGAAGTTTTTGTAACATCTTGCATTAGCATGAACTTGTGGCAAGGCAATCCTCTGCAAACAAGGCACCAGGCACTTCTGGGATGCTCCAATGACCTTCCTCAAGGATGAGCTGCAAAGAGAAGTGGGCTGAGGAACTGCCTGCCTGGGACTAAATGGTACTGTCAGCCTCCATAATCAAGGAGTTTATCTTGCTCCTTTTGTCTGCAGTGCCTCTCTTGCAGCCTTCACCCTTATGCTGCGGCCATGTGTTCAATATTTTCTTTAGAATTATGAGAGTAAACAGCAAAGTGAATTGATTTAGGGCACTTCTATACTGATGCACCTATGTCACCTACATGATTATTTCAGTCACAATAGCACTGGCATAGCTGAACTCATACAAAGACTATAAAGAGCAGACTTCAGTTAAAAACTTCAGTTTCATGAAGCATTTTTTCTTTCTTGCAGAGTTCTAACTGGGCTGCCTCTCCCTAGCAAGCGGAACTAAAATTTATTCCAGTCTGCTTTTTTTTATTGCTTTCTAGTTTATTCCAGACAAAAAACAAGCAAGGCAGGGAGCTGATATAATCATCAGCCCTGGAAGTGTTCAAAAACATGTAGATGCAGCACTTTAGGGATATAGTTTAACGGTGGACTTGGCAGTGTAGGTTAACAGTTGGACTTCATGACCTTAGCAGTCTTTTCCAACCTGAACTGATCTATGATTCTATGAAATAAGTATTTTCATTCCAAAACTGCACCTTTGGCTGGGCTGACCTTCAATGGGAGGTATGTGCAGGGATACAAAATGTCCAGTGGTCAACCGTAAAACAGTGCACCAAC